CATGCTTGGGTGGGTGGAGGGACAGCGCAGGAGGGGAAGACCCTCTATGAGATGGATTGATTCGGTGACTGGGGTAATCGGGATGGGTGTGTCGGAGGCGGTGCGGTTGGCGCAGGATAGGGCAGGGTTTAGAGCTGTTGTGCATAGGGTCGCTGTGAGTCGGAAACGACTCGATGGCACATAACAACAACAACATCTTTCTCCTACAGAACACTAGTGGATTTGAACTAACATCCTTTTAGATGGTAACTTAGCATAGTATACACTATGCCACCAGGATTTCTTTTAATAAATTAGAAGATATTAAAAAGAAAAATGGTTATTTACTTGGAGGACTTTGGGAAATAATTGAATTAAGAAAGATATATGAAAATCTTTAATAGAAGACAAATCTTTACTGCAAACTTTTCTACTCATTCTGTTTATTGGTGCATGTTGCTAAATCTCTAAGATAGGATGGATAGAATATACAGCATTTCCAAAATAAACACCTGCCAAGACTCCCCCCCCCCCTTTTTTTCTTCTTCAAAGTATATCATAGGACTAATGTTCCCTGGAGTACTCTTTTGGAAATGTTGTTATTTAAAATATAACAATTTGTTTAAGCTCTCTGGACTTGTTAGCTTCTGCATTAGTGACCCTTGCTTTGTCAGCTGTTCTGATGCTGAGCAGATTCTTGTGAACTAAGAAATACCTGCAATTTATATTAGACTAATTTTGCATAAAAAGAATTATTTTTAAAGAAAATATATTTTGAGGACCTGGGAAAAGAGTCTACACCCATCTAGATAAAACTGATGTCTGAAACAATATAGGTGATGAAAGAACTGAATTGTGTCTCTCAGTGAATACTTTATCAGGCTACCACCTTGTGAAAGTGGAAAAACATGGCTGAGAGCAGAAATGGTTTTGTAAATATTTTACTTAAGTAAGCAGAAACTACAAAGGAAACCCTTGTATGTTAAATGAAAGATTTTGTAAAATATGCTTTAAATGCTTTGTCTCAAAGTTGTATACAGAATGTAATTTTTTTTATATTTTGCTAAGATTATATTTTTATAATTATAAGGTAATTTTACATTTGCCCTTGCATGTTTATGCATTTCAATGTTATTCTCAGTTCATAGATTAGTAATTTATTTATTTGAAGGATGATTTGTTCCCTGGGGCAATAATACATATTTTTAAAATATTTTGTTTTTCTAAAAAAAGAATTTTAAGTTTTTTTAAAGGACAGAACCATATCAAACAAAAATACAGCTTAATGAATTATCACATGGTAAACATACTTATCACCGCCCAGGTCAAGAAGCAGGATTTTGTCAGCTTTTTCCTAAAAACGTCCTAGTTATACTTAACTTTCCTCAAAAAGCTACTGTTTTGACTTTTGTAATAATCACTTCATTTTATTTCTTTATACTTTTATTATTCAAATGTGCATCTTTCTTATTCTCGCTGATTTTTAAAGAGTTAATAATTATTATTAGGAAGTACATTAATGTACCATTGTACCTTGTATGTTTATACTACTTTGAATCATATTTATCTATAGGAAAGTAAATTAATATGTTCTTTGACGTTTGAAAGACTGATCTCATGAGATAACTTGTATTTTAGGGTGTCCTGATGTCAGAAGAAGAAGTATTTGAACTTGTTCCTGACGATGAGCGCCAGTGCTCTGCCTGCCGAACCACATGCTTTCTCTCTGCTCTCACTTGTTCCTGTAACCCTGAACGGCTTGTGTGTCTGTACCATCCCACGGATCTGTGCCCCTGCCCCATGCAGAAGAAATGTCTTCGGTAACTATAAGTGTTTTATAAAACCATGTCTTAATAGTTTTCTTAACGCTCCTTCCCAACAAGCTGGATTAATACAGTGACCGTAATAATGGGTCAGGTGTACCAGAGATGATGAAGATAGCACAGGATAGGGCAAGGTTCAGATCCATTGTTTGTAAGGTCGCTATGAGTCATAGTTGACTAGATGGTATCTTATGTTTCTTCTTTGATTTTGAGCTGGTAACTTCTCCTTGTCTGTCTGCTTGTCTTCTTGTTGTAGGACCAGTCCATTAACTCTTGATCCTGAACTTGATGGCTTAAATTAGTTTCTTTATCAATTAACTTCACATGTTCCTTGTCTTTCCTTACGTCAGAACTCTCTGGGGTTCATGGAATTTCTTTTTATGTGAACCAATGACCTGACCTTGTGTTTTTCTTGAGTTGATTACATCAAAACTTACTTTATCTTCAAATTATTGTTGGTTTTTTCCCCTGTGTTTTATTCCTAGATACCGATATCCTCTAGAAGACCTTCCTTCTCTGCTATATGGTGTGAAAGTCAGGGCACAGTCCTATGATACATGGGTCAGTCGTGTTACAGAAGCATTAGCTGCCAGTTTCAACCACAAGAAAGGTTAAGTTTACTACTTTTACTACATGCACTGAAATTGTTGTTGCTTTAGAAGGGCCTTGTTTGGTGGTCTGTTTAATTTTTTTTACATTAACATCTGCTTGTGATTTCAGTGCACGCTTACAGAGCAAATTTGTTTTCAGACGAGGCCTTATTTTGTGTATTTTTCTTCCATGAAGTAAAAATTCTAGGCTTCATATGAAATTTGAGTTAACATGGGCCAATTGAATAGAAATTTCATTGAAAATCTAATCTGAAAGTTGATAGAAGATAGCTAACTTGCAATGATATGTATTTTGGGAAACCATTGTTACCAGTGGACTAACATAGAAGACCTCCTTAGAAAGAGAAATTCCTATACCTGAGAGAGGTTATCTTTTTGGATTAGGAATGAAAATTTGGTCATAAACGTCATTTTGATTGGAGAAGTTTTCACAGTTGCAGTATGTTTCTACTAACAGGTTGATGATTCATTGTAGAGAGGTTGGTGAAGATTTTAGAATGGCTCTTTATATCTGTATTTATTGTGTGTGACTATTTCTACAGATTTGATTGAATTGCGAGTAATGCTGGAAGATGCTGAGGACAGGAAATACCCGGAGAATGATCTCTTCAGAAAACTCAGGGATGCAGTAAAAGAAGCTGAAACCTGTGCATCAGTGGCTCAACTACTTCTGAGCAAAAAGCAGAAACATAGGTAAGGTTAAGAAGAATTTGATTCTTTAGTAGTTTCTGTTCCTTTTGTAGTAGAAAAGGCAATTTTAACTGTGACCTGTGAAGCACTATATTATCTTTGGCCTCTTATGATTGTATCCCTCCCTTTCCCTGCTTGGCCTCAGTCATATCTCCTTTCAGTTACTCTTTTTTCCATTCATTCTTTATTCTGACACCTTCTTCTACTTGTTACTCTTCATATATACCAAGCATGTTCCTATTTAGGACCATCACACTTGCTACTCTACTTTAGAGTCGCCTTGCCTTATAGATCTTAAGTGACTTGCTATTTCTTTGTAAGATTCTTGGGAAGTTTTCCTTGAGAATCGCTTTTAAGACTGCAACATTTTTATTCTTTTCAGCTTTTTTCCCTCCCTCTGACCATTATAATCTAATGCACTAGTTTCTCTCCCTGTTACTGTCTCTCTCTCGTCTCTTTCTCTCTCCCCCCACAGTTATACTGTAATGTGTGGTATACCAGTCTGCCAGGGACTTTTTGTATTTTTCTTTTTTCTACCTCATGGTTATATTTTTTGTGCTTAATACTATGTTTGGCACCCAGTAAGTAGAGGAGAAAGACTTCTAAATAGCTAAACTGAACTATAATACAGGCTAAAGGCAGGTAGCTGCAAAAGAGTAATCTTGAATATAGAGGGCAAAAGATGCAGAGAAGACTTTTAAGAAGTATAGAAATGCCGCCACCCAAGCAGATATATGCACACTTATGTTTACTGTGGTTTTGTTAGCAATAGCAAAGAGCTGGAAACAACCCAAGTGCCCATCAACAAGTGAATGGATAGAGAAGCTGTGGTATCGTCACACAATGGAATACTGTGCACCACTGAAAAACAAGGAACTCATGAAATATTATTCAAAATGGATGACCCTGGAGAACATTATGCTGAGTGAAATATCTCAGTCACAAAAGAACAAATATTACATAGGGCCATTGTTGTAAAATGGGACTGACATCAGGGTTGAGGGAAGACAGAGGAGGAGGGGAGGAATGATGTATACTGCATTGAAACAGATGAGGGAGAGATCGGTTTAAAAGAGATAAATGATTGGGTATTATTGTCATGACAGGGGTCCAGAATGAAGGCTGCACAGTGGAATGAACTTGGGGGGAGGGATTGCATAACAATGAAAGAGTTTTACTTTTCAAAGAGAAGAGTGAATTGGGGGAGGGGGGTGGGCAGGGAGAAAAGTGCAACAATGAATGGAAACCCTAAGTCTCTATAAACTTTCATTAAATTGAATTTTTAAAAAAAGTATAGAAATGTCTGTGTGCACCCCTGACGAATTTGAGTGAGGTTAAAAAAAAAAAAAAGCTAGTATGGTCCTTGTATTTAGATGTAGCATATTCCTTGTATATGGATGTGTGTGATTTTTTTCCCCTCTCTTGTAGAAGTTTACATTTAAAATTATTTTGTAAATATTTTTATCTTCTATTTTATTAGAGAACTTTTCTTAGAGATCACAGACTCTTAGTTTGTTATTTGGTGATTACCTCCCCCCAATCCCCAACCTGGTGAAAACATAAAGACTCTTTTCTTACAAAGATGTACTTGGACACAAGTTATTCTGTCAGTTTCAGGGTGGGTTCATTGGCTCCAAAGTCAGATTAAAGACCTTTCTTTTGCATTTTAAGAATTTTGAGATAACCAAATTTAGGTTTTAATCTTCAGTTTTTCCCAAGATACAGACTTTCTTTCATAGTTTTGTCTGTGTAATTATTAGTACTTGACTGCTAAGAATTTATTGAGTGTTTGAAATGTTCATACTGGGAGAAATATCCCTTGCTTATTTTACTTCTATTTACAGCCCCCCCCAGCTTATTTTTAAAGGAACTGTAACATGAGAAATTGAATCTTTAAATCATTAACTAAAAACCAAACATTATTTTCCACCATTACAGTGGAATCCTTCAAACACCACGATTTATTGGGTTGGATTTCTAAAGAGATGAAAAACTCCTTTATAATAGAAGGACTGTGTTTTGGAGTTTATTTTTGGCTATGTCTTGAATGTTGTTTCCCATTAGGCAAAGTCCAGAGAGTGGGAGAACCCGGACCAAATTGACAGTGGAGGAATTGAAAGCCTTTGTCCAACAACTTTTTAGTCTTCCATGTGTCATCAGCCAAGCTCGACAAGTAAAGGTGGGTACTGTCCTTGGTGGTATAGGCTACTTCTTGGTATAGGTGAACAGGATAGAATGTTTTGACTGGTGTTCTCATTAATTTCTTTTCTGTTATTTAAGCTTTTTAATAAGTATCCTCTTTCATTTCTTTTCTGTTATTTAAGCTTTTTTTTTTTTTTAAATTTTATTACTTTTTGTGTGTGTACTGTCAAATCAGATCTGATTGGTACAGGAGGAGATTGTCCCTCCTTCTCCTGCAGAGCATCTGGTGGATTCGAACCGTCTCTCTCTGGGATTGCAATGCAGTTTCTTGCCGCTAGACCACCAGAGCTTTTTAATAAGTAGCAAATATCTATTAGCTTAATTTTCAGACTATTCTTCCTTTAAATTTCTGAGACTAAGGCTATGTTAAAAGCTCTAATGGCATAATGCTTAAGTACTCAGCTACTGACTGAGAAGTTGGTAGTTTAGATCTGCTTTAGATCTAAAGTTGGTAGTTTAGATCTCCTTTAGTTACACAGGAGAAAAAACTTGGCTATCTGCTTCCATAACAATTACAGACTAGGAAACTCTCTTAGACAATCTACTCTGTCATATAGGGCTATTATGTTTCAGAATCAAGTTGACAGCACCCATAAACAAAGCTACTTTAGAATTTTTTTGTATTAATTTTAAGTTAGAACCCCCATTTATTTGAGCTGTCATTAAAATGTAAGAAACTAGTTATAAGAATCTGAATATATCATGGGAAAAAATACCTAATTCTTTAAATTCATAGTCCTGAAATTATTGGTGTTCTGATGATTTAATAGATACATAAAGTCTCAAAGTACACAAGTATATTAGTCTACATCATAATATTTTGATAGATTGGGATATGTATTTATATTTAAGGGAATGGATAGGACATTTCAAAGACTGTTTGGTCAGGATACCAACTTGAGAAATCTAGTATCTATGTCTTTTATTTTACTCGTTTCAGATTGTTTACCACGCTTCCTGAAATACTGTAAACGTTTGTGACACCACACTTTTTTAGTTTTCTTCTTGACTCATTGGTTGGTCTTTGTCTTCTTTTCTATACTTTTTTCTTCTTTGATTTCTTAAGTGTTGAAGTATGTTAGTTTTGCTATAGTTAGGTGCTACCCTGTTTGCTGTGACCTCATAGCAATCCTGTGAACAACAGATCTGAACCTTGCCCTCTTCTACACCATCCTCATGATATCTGCCGTGCTTGAACCCATTATTACAGTTGCTGTGTCATTCTGGGTCATCTTCTCTCTTGCATGATCTCTTTTTTCCAAGGACTGGCCTCTTCCTGACAACAAAATATGTGAAACTAAGTTTCACCATCCCTGCCTCTGAGGAGCACCCTGGTTACATTTCATCTAAGACAGAGTTGGTTGTTCTTTTGATTGTCCATGAAATACTCAATACTCTTCTCCAACACCACAATTCAAAGTCATTGATTCTTCTTTGATCTTCCTTATTCACTAATTCAACTTTCAGATGCATATGAAGCAGTTGAAATATGGCTTGTATCAAGTGCACATTAGTCTTTAAACTGCTATCTTTGCTCTTATCACTTTGGAGAGATCTTTGACAGCAGATTTTTCTTTATCATAGGCGTGCACTCTCCATTTGTCTGGTGATGTTAAATCTCACCCATATTCTGTATATTTCCAAACCTCAAGCTTTGACTGGGTTTCTTCTTCTTCTTTTTTTTTTTCAGACTATTGTGTTCTGTTAGGAAACTGGAGAATATTAGCCATAGGGGATTGATGTGATCTGTTTCTTGATCTGACTATTAAATGAAAAATAGCTTGTAAGTGACAAGAGTAGAAGCAGGAAAGCCAGTTCATAGACCATGGTGGTAATTGAAAGGGCATATTCTTATGGCTTAGTGCATAATGTATAATCTGTATTTCCATTTAGTTATTTCGGTAGGCATCTTTTAATAGTCTTTCAAAAAATTCCATACATCAGAGTTCTAATATTCCATATCCAATCTCTACATTGTATCCAGAATATGTCATAAAGCCATGCTTTTATCATTTATTTATATTTATCATTTATTCACTGCTTAAACTGTTAAGCTGCTGGAAGGTGCTCTGGTGGTTCAGAGTCAAGTGCTCCCCTACTAACTGAAAGGTTGGTTGTTTAAAACCACTAATCACTCCACTGGAGAGAGGTGTGGGTCTTCTCCTTCTGAAAGAAGCAGCCCTTGGAAACTCTGTAGGGCAGTTGAGTTGGAATTCACCTTGACATCAATGAGTTTAGAAGCCACTAGAATTTGCAGTGTGTTGGGTTACTACAGCAACCTCTTAGCTGTCTCCCTTCTTCTACTTTTATCCTTGTGGACTGTTTTTCACATAGTAGCTACAGTGAATATCTTACCATTCCCATGTGGGTAAATTCTCATCTAACTCTATAAAGCCATTAGAATGAAATCCAAGCTTTTACAATTTACAGAGTACTCTGTAATTTTACCTCTGCTTATTTTCCAGCTATACTTGGCTCTCCCTCATAGAATTGGGACAATTCACCAAGCTCATTTCTCTTTTAAAGCTTTTGCAGTTACTATTTGCTCTGTGTGAACTGCTCTTTCTCTAGGTCTTCATATGATTCATCCACCTTGTTCTCATTATTTTAGTTTTACTTCTGTCTTTTGTGACGGCTCTAGCTAAATAATATGTTCCCTCCCTGTAGATGTTTTCTATCATACTACCTTATTTTATTATTACTTTAGGCAACAGGAACATTTTATTCATGGACTTTTTGTTTTACCACCTGTATTAGAAAATATGTTCTTTGAGGGCATGGACTTTGTATGTCTTGCTCAGTAGTATGTGGCTATAGAATAGTTCTTGCATGCAAATTCTCAAACCAAACCAAATCCATTGCCATTGAGTCAGTTCCTACTCATGGTGACTCTTGATTGGGTTTCTGAGACTGTAAATCTCTGTGGAAAGAAGTTGTCCTTTTTCTCAGGGAGCATCTGGTGGAATCAAACAATTGAAATTATCATTACAACACTCAACATACTAGGTCTCCAGAATGCCTTGCATCTAAACCAGCTATTTTTATTGAATGAATTAGTTCTAGTTTACAAATAAGACTAGAATTAATTATAGAGAAGTATATCTATGCTTTCAACTATTGTATCTATTTGTTGCTGAGAGGGAGATGGTAAGATGGCCTGGAATTGATGCATTAGTTTTCCTTAAGTTTGCTGTTTTTTCTGTACTCTTTTTTTGCCCCTCTTTGAAGTTTGATTTCTTTTTTTATTTGTTTTGACTTCTTCAGAATCTGTTGGATGATGTGGAAGAATTTCATGAACGTGCTCAGGAGGCAATGATGGATGAAACCCCAGATTCGGCCAAACTTCAGATGTTGATAGACATGGGTTCTAGTCTTTATGTTGAACTGCCTGAATTACCCCGTCTGAAGCAGGAATTACAGCAGGCTCGATGGTTGGATGAAGTAAGACTTACCCTGTCAGATCCACAGCAGGTCACTTTGGATGTCATGAAAAAACTGATTGACTCTGGAGTGGGGTTGGCACCACACCATGCTGTGGAGAAAGCAATGGCTGAACTACAGGAGCTCCTTACAGTGTCTGAGCGATGGGAGGAAAAGGCTAAGGTCTGCTTACAGGCAAGGTGAGCACATATTTTGGTGACTCTCACTTCTTTAGGGAGCTCTGGTGGCCTAGTGGTAAAAAGGTACTGTGCTGCCAGCCCACAGCTCTGAGGGCGGAAGATGGGCAGTCTCCTCCTCAGCAACTTACTCCCTCTGAAAGCCTGTTGGAGGGTCAGCTGTGAGTTGGTTCCAACTCAACTGCAGTGAACAGGTCACTTCTTTAATAAGATGCAACTCAGAAAGTAGAATGGAAAAGAAGAGTATAGACTATTAATAAATTTCATGTAGAGTACTATTTTGGGAGTACATTGGCTGATACAAAGTAGTAGTTGGATGTTGAGCTGCTAACTGGAAGGTGATGGTTTGAATTCACCAGCTGCTTTATGGGAAAGATGAGGCAGACTGCTCCTCTTAAGATTTACAGCCTCAGAAGCCTGATAGAGAGGTTGCCATGAATCAGAATCTGTTTAATGGAAGTAGCATAGTTTTCGGTGTTACAAATGATAATATAGTTAGGAGCCAAGACATGTAAATCTCAATACAGTGTGTTATTCAGTTTACTAGAGAGGTACAGGTTGATGTTGTGTTCGGAAGAAGAGACGTCATTGTGAGCTTGCATGGAGAAGCTTGAGAGAAAAGTGATCCTTGAAGAATGAGTAGGACCGAAGGGGATGGGAAAGTAAGAGAGATACCATAAGGGAAAGTTTAAGAATGTATTCAGTGACAGAAAAGAGTTTTTATTGGAATGGAGAATTTATGTAGGAAAATACTGGGAGATAAGAATTGGTCATGTTGAGTAGTTGGGTTAGTACTGGCATCCTGTTGGATAAATCCTTACGTAAAGTTGTCATGTTTGACTATGTTCAGTCAACTAATTTGGCTGATAATTGACTCTAGTGTTCCTTATGAAAGCATGTCTGTAGTAGCTATTAGCTAAGATTAATATTTATAGAATTTTTGTTAAACTGGTGAGATTCTTAGATCACAGGCTGTTAAGTGAGCTAAATTTGAAGCCTTATTTCATTTTAATCCAAAGATTATACACTTGGCATCTATTTCTTTGGATACATTTGATAGGAAAAATCTTTGGTGATCTTAACCCAGCGAAGAGGAGCTTCCATTGATGATGGAAATTTTACTCTCCTGGGTTTCGTGAGAGGGGCTTTGACCATGGGAAGTAGCACTACTAATCCAAAAGTGGTGCCTCTGGCAATTTTATTCACTGGCAGCTCAGAGGGAAAAAGATGGGAAGTCTTTTGCCTTGCAGCTTATAACCTTGGAAAACTCACTGTAGGGTCAGCTATGAGTTGATTCTGACTCAAAATCAGTGAGTTTGTGGTGTTACAAAGAATACATACAAGAGCACATCCCCCAGTTTTTCCTACCTGACGTGTTCAAGTCACATGTCTTTAGATTCATGACAGTTCTAGGAGTTGGAAGCACATTAAAATAGGCAAAGCTAAAGAATGTCTTTTTGAGTGTATGATTTTGTATACATGAAGCGATTTGTAATAATATTTTAAATGAAATTTTGTTAGTAGTAATACTAAAATTTTTTGATCTGATGGTTTTGCCTCTAAAATGTCTTTCATATCTGTTTTCTTTAATTCCATTGTCACAGACTTAATTATAAGTTTGTTTCCAGTGGTAACAGGAAAATCCTAGTTGTCTTCAATTAGATTCTGACTTATGCTGACCATTTATGTGTCAGATAGAAATATGTGTCCACTGAGTTTTTAGTAGCTAGTTTTTCTGAAGTGTATTTATTGCCAGGCCTTTCTTCTGAGGCATCTCTGGGTAAACACAAACTGCTGCCTTCTAGGTAGCAGCCAAATGTGCCTGATAAAGAAAGGCTGTAATTCTTTTCTTCTTCTTTTTTTTATTTGCAATTCATTAAGTATATTATATGTAATACTTGCCAGGCACTATTTTTTCCCCCAGTAGTGATTTGCATATATTTATTGCTGAATCAGTCAATACAGAAATATAAAACAAGGAATAAATCTGAAATTTTCAACTTGATATGGTAGGATGCTGTGAACTAAAGCCTATGTATTTGACACTCTTTACAGACCCCACTTGGTACTTCTCCAGTGTCTCTTGGAATTGTTGTTGTTGTTATGTGCCGTCGAGTCGTTTGTGACTGATAGCGACCCTATGTACAACAGCCCTAAACTGTGCTCTATCCCGTGCCAATCTCATTGCCTCTGGACACACCCATCCCGATTACCCCAGTCACTGAATCAATCCACGTTATAGAGGGTCTTCCCCTCCTGCGCTGTCCCTCTACTCTACCCAGCATGATGTCCCTCTCTAAAGACCTGTCTCTCCTTACAGCATGTCCAAAGTATGTCAGACGAAGCCCCAGAATCCTTGCCTCCAAGGAGCAGCCTGGTTTAACCCTCTCTAGGATGAATCTGTTTGTTTTCTTGGCAGTCCATGGTACATTCAGTACTCTTCTCCAGCACCACAGATCAAAGACGTCAATTCTCCTTCTATCCTCCCTAGTCATTGTCCAACTCTCTGATGCATAACAAGTGATTGCAAAAACCATGGCCTGTATCAGGTGCACCTTAGTCTCCAGAGAGACTCCGTTGCTCTTGAGTACTTTAGAGAGGTCCCTAACAGCAGACTTTCCCATCGCAATACGTTTTTTGATTTCCTGGCTACTGGTGCCAAGAGTGTTGACCGTGGAGCCGAGCAAACTGAAGCTGTGAACAATCTCAATCTCTTTGCCGTCCATCTTGATGCTACCGATTGGTCCGGTGGTGAGAATTTCTGTCTTCTTGACATTGAGCCTCAGTCCATACTGAAGGCTGCAGTCCTTGACCCTCTGCAGTAAGTGCATGAGGTCCTCCTCAGTTTCAGCGAGCAGAGTTGTGTCATCTGCATAACGCAGATTGTTGATAGATCGTCCACCAATCCTAACACCACGCTTCTCCTCATAGAGCCCAGCCTCTCGGATAATCTGCTCTGCATACAGGTTGAAAAGGTATGGAGATAGGACATATCCCTGGCACACACACCCTTCCCAATTTTGAACCATGCACTGTTGCCCTGCTCTGTTCTGACGACTGCCTCTTGGACTCTTGGAATAGAACTAATTTTATTACTAGCTTTCCTCACATCTCTTGGGTAATGGAGCAATTCTCCTTTTGTTTTTTTGGCTGGCAATCTCTTGATCCTGAAAGTCTTATGAGAGTACATGGCAAAGATGGAAGACTGCTGCTTTTGCCTTGATGGTGAAGAATGGAAGAGCCAGGCACTAATTTTAGGTCATATATTAGAAAGTGGTAAACTTAATATAGAATATTGAGATAACATTCTGTGGTGAGACCAGCTGCATCAGTGAGTGACTTCATTAACCTCAGATGATTAGTGTCTTGGGTGGTTAAACACTGACCAATTCTTTTTGGCATGGTGATTCTCTTGCTGGCCTTCTTTCGAGAATTCCTGCATCATTCAGTTGTTTCTTCTAGAGAAATGCCATATATATTATGTCCTTTTGAACCACTCTTTAAAATCTTTATTCAGCTCTTTTATGTTACCATTTCTTCTTTCCAGTTTAGTGTACTCTGTGCTCAAGAGTCTCTAACAAACATTTCCCCTGCTTGTGTTTTTAATAACTTTGATTTCTTTGTGTATGATGTCTTCACTCTTTTCCTACAGCTCTTCTGATCTTCAGGAATTAATATTTAATTTATCAAATCTGTTCTTGAGATTGTCTCTGAATACAGGTACTATATATTCAAGATCATATAAGTTAAGTCACTAGAGCTTCTAGAGCTTCTCAAGGTCATGCTTTGACTCTTGTAGATTGGTTTTAATTTTCTTTTTCTTCACCTTGAACTTGCACATGAGCATTGATGATCTATTCTGTAGTTGCCCTTAGCCATATTCTGACTATGATAGTGAATTTCCCCCTCATCTCTTTCCACTGATGTAGTTGATTTGATTTTTGTGTTCATGTGTCTACTAAATTCAAACCAAACCCATTGCCATTGAGTTCATTCCAACTCACAGTGATTCTAGGACAGAGTAGAACTTCTCCATAGTATTTCCAAGTTTGTAAAAGCCAGCTGCCTCATCTTTCTTCTGCAGAGCAGCCTGTGGGTTCAAACTGTTGTTTGTTGTTCTTAGTGCCATTGGTGCAAGTCACAGTGACCCTATGAACAACAGATCTGAACTCTGTCCTATCCTGTGCCATCCGCATGCTTCCTGACATTCAAAAGCCCTTTGTGGCAGTCACTGCAGCAATCCACCTCTATCTCACTGAACTTCCACCCTTCCCGGTATCATTCCTCTCGTCTTCTTAGGGTTTTCAAAGGCCTGTTATATAAGAAGTGAGTGCCAGACCTGCTTCCTGCTTTGTCTTAATCTGGGAGCTCAACCAAACCCTGTCCATCTTGGATAACCCTTAGGATATTTGACATACCAGTAGCACAGCTTTCAGTATACCAGCAACCCCAAGTTATCTCTCTGTGCAGCAAACTGATAGAGAACTCCTGTGCCACCTAGAACAGTGTTCTCCCCGAACTACTGACCTTTTAATTTCAGCCATGCCATTAACCACGGAACCACCTGTGCTTATCTCCTTGTCATCATTTATGTTGTTTTCGCCATTTATGTTGTAAAAGGTGTTACCATTAACTAGGTTATTAGTCTTAGGAAATTCTATCGTGATCACCAAGGACCTACTTTCTGGCTTTAGCTCCTTCATCTGTGTATCCAATGTTCAGGTTCTAGTCACCAGTAATTATTAATGGATCTTGCTTGGTCAATTTCAGATTTCAGAAGTTTGTAAAGATTTTCAGTTTTATGCTTGGCATTAATGGATAAATGTAAATAATTTGAATATAAAATGGTTTCTGTATATATATATACCCTAACATCACTCTTTTACTTCAGGATAGATCTTGAGATTCTCTTTCTTCTTGATTATTCTCAGCATAATAGACCATTTGCTTATCCAATTCAAAATAGCCCTTACTTGTTGATTTTAGCTCATTAGTGCCCATTGTTCAGACACATTATTCATAGGGTCACTATGAGTGTACTCCACTCAAGGGCACTTAACAGCAACAAAATACTTCGTGTATCAGTTTTCAGGTGTTACATTTCATTTTTATTCATTGATTGTAACTTTCTGTTTTATCTTGAGTCATATCACATTAGCAAATGAAGATACTGAAACTTTATCTGGGTCATTAAGATGAACTCTAATTTCAGGAAACATCTCTTTCTCAGCTGCTTTTTTGATTGACTTATGTCCTGAGGGGCTTATCTTCTGGCACACTATCAGATGATGTGCTCCCATAGTTCGTAGGGTTTTCATTGGCCTATTTTTCAGACGTAGATTCTGAGGTTTTTATAGTTTCACTATTTATGATAAACCCTCCATATTCAGGATTCTTTATATCAGAAGTTTTTTGAGACATTGCCTTGCCCCTAAAGAATGGAATCATCTGACTCACCCACCTTGCAGATGGCCCCACAAATGTTCCAGGCTTTCAACTAGCCATTGAATATGCCGGTGACTTGTCACCCTTAACCATGTTCATCTAGGTGAACATGTGATCCTTGGTTCCGAAGATGTAGTTGCTGTGAGAGCACTTCCATAGCATATATCGATCCACAAACTCAGGGGTGCCCTTCAGCATAGTGTTGGTTGCTGTGCCATTTATGAGCAGAGAAAAGATTTTTCAGAAGTTGATTGACACATTTTCCTTGTTAGTCTGTTTAGGTCTGAAAGCTCCACTGTATCTCAACAACACGCAAACCAGAACTGTGCTGTAAACTGACAGAGTTGTTCCTATTCTTGGCAGAACAGATGCCCACTTTCCTTACTGGGTGCCATAGTAATCAGTACAATCAGTAATCCATAGTTCTCAGTACAAGTATAAAATGTTTATGTTGTATTCCAAATCCACTGCCATTTTAGATGCTAACTCATAGCACCACTCTACCAGTTTTACCTAGGTTATAAATCTTTATTGGAGGAGACTGTCAGTCTTTGCCCAAGGAGTAATTTAATTAACACATTACTGCACACTTTTAAATTGACGACCATGCTTAGAAACACATCCCCCCCACCCCCATGTATTACCGTCATTTGCGGCAACGTAAATGAACATGGTCAATATTAATGGATATCTAGTTTATTCCTTTCTACATTGTGGAGAACAAGGCTAGGGGTAGTATATTGAAAAGAGCATGGGATTTGGAACTCACCCTAAATTCACACTGACTTTGTAAATTCACTCTGTAGTAAATCACTTTGGTGAAATAATATATCTTCTTTGACTTGGTATTTAGGTTGGTATTTTTCGTCTCTCAAGTGGAAATAAAGATAATTGTTACTTTACCTCCTTGATAGGATTGTGATAAGAATGAAATGTACATTCCAGACACCATGTCATTTGGAGCCGACCAACTCATAGCTGACCCTTTAGTGGATTTTCAGAGACTGTAAATTGCAGGGGAAGAGATTGCCCATTTTTATCCCATGGAGCAGCTGGTAGATTCGAACCAAGTGCCTTTAGGTTGGCAGCACTGAATCATGTATATGATTCTGTTTATATTATAAAATGTTATCTAAATGTTGGTCACAGTTGGAATTTTCCTTTTATTTCTACTCTATTTTTTAGACCACGGCACAATGTGGCAAGCTTAGAAAGCATTGTAAATGAAGCTAAGAACATCCCAGCCTTTCTTCCTAATGTGTTATCCCTGAAAGAAGCCTTGCAGAAGGCTCGAGAATGGACAGCTAAAGTGGAAGCTCTTCAGGTAAGGAAACATCTGACTGTTGAGGTAAAATGACTGCCTTACAGGTAAATCTTTTAACCTTTTACTTTTGTATTAAAATAACTACCTTTTAAAAAGTTATAATAAAGATTCACTTATTCTTCTATCTAGTTCCATAATTCAAATATTACCTGTCCATTCTCATGGGATGCAAAGATGGTAAGATTTCACCTCACATACTTTGGGCATGTTGCTAGGAGAGGCTGTTCCTTGGAGAAGGACAATCCTCCTTGGAAAGGTGGAGGGATGGCAAAGAAGAAAACCCTTAACCAGGTGGATTGACATAGTGATTGCAGCTGTGATCTTGAGTATGTCAGAGATGATGAGGATAGCACAAAATAAGACAGGATCTGTTGTTCATAGGGTTATTAGTGACTCATGCCCAACTAGATAGGACTTAACATTCAGATATTACTTGGGTCTTTTCATTACGGTGAAACATGAGAAACTTAGCCGTTTATTTAACTCCTCCCCATCCCTTTCTTCCTAGCCCCATCCTATTTAACTCCTAAGCAACAGAAAATTTCTCCTTTGCTGTATTCTTTGAATCTTATCCCTTGCATATAAATTACTTTCATAGTTAGAGGCAGAAGCAAGTGGAATTAGCATTTAGAGAACACCAAATATTCATGGTACTAGATATTCTCAGAGGGTAGAAAAGTAAAGGTGTACTTACAAAGATGACTAGGATATATATGACCAAAGCCCTCAAATAATCATATTCTCTGTAGAAGAAACGTATGTCATTTGTATTTAAAATCAAAACGACGTACATGCTTGATAGAGATGAAAGTGTGCTTGAATAAATAATAATTTCTTCCAAATTACAAAAGCCATTCAAGTAAGCAGCAGTATCCTACTATTCAGGTAATGCCTATTTCACAGATAAATTCTTTAAACCTTAACACGTTGATGGCGGTAATACATCTAAGGGGGGAAAAAAGTGTTTCTAAGCATGGTCGTCAATTTAAAAGTGTGCAACAATGTGTTAAATACTTTTTTTAAAAAAAGGTGGGGTTTTTTTTTGTTACTGAAAATGTACACAGAAGAACATGTACCAGTTTAACAGTTACGCCACATACAATTTAATAACATTATGTTCTTCAAGTTTAACCTATTTAGATTAAAATAACTATAATAAAATACTGTTCTAAAATATACTTATCCTTCTGTCGAATTTTATAATTAAAAAGATACTAACCTACGGCCCTCAGGCCTGGTTTAAGCTGTTTTTTGTCAAACATTCTTCTAAGTGGTATAGCACTGGTCTGTGCATTGCTGTATAGAGGTTACTGTGATGCTAAACACTGTGACTCTGATGTGCCAAATGTGATATTGGTTACCCATGGTGGACAGTGTTTGGTGGAGTTCCCCGATTAAAACAAGCTTGGAAACAGGAGTGGAATCTACCTCTGAAATGGCTTGCCTCCTGAAACTCTATGTACATGGAGAAACGATCAAAGTTACTCAAGTGTTCAGGTCTTTGGTTTATAGGGTCGCTATGAGTTGTCTACAATTCGATGGCACTTAACAACAATAACGACAACATAGAGAGAGCTCTGTTGGCCCAGTGGACAGAAAGTTATGCTACCAAGCCTAAGGTGGGTGATTTTTAATCTGTGGCCCTCAGGCCTGGTTTTAATTGTTTTTGGTCAAACATTCTTCAGAGTGGTATAGCACTGGTCTGTACATTGCCGTACAGAGGTTAACTCGTGGTTGCTGTGTTGCTAAACACTGTGACACTGATGTGCTAAATGCGATAATGGTTACTCGTGGTGGACAGTGTTTGGTGGAGATTCCCGACAAAAACAAGATTGGAAGCAAGAGTGTAGCATCCACTTGTGAAATGGCTTGTCTCTGAAAACTCTATGAACATGGAGAAATGACCAAAGTTATACAAGTGTTCAGGTCTTTTGTTCATAGGGTTGCTATGAGTTGTCCACGACTCAGTGGCACTTAACAACAACAACAACCACCTGTTAAAACAGTATTGATTATATAAATATGCTTTACTGTAGAACTGTAGCTAAAGAATATATAAACCAACTCTCTTTTTCCAAACTTCTACACTATGAAATGAAACTTTGCTGGTGACTGTGGAGAGTTGTGCTAACCCAGAGGCATTGTCACTGTTGTGGTCTGAGGTCACCACTGCTTCTCCAGGACAAAGATGAGCAGTTTCTTCCTGTGTCATTTACAGCCTCTGATGACCCACTGCAGGGTCAACAGCTGGGCTGTACCAGCAAGTATCACCCTAAGAAAGAACATACTCTGGATTTCAAGCTATGACTCCTCTTTTCAGTTTGATTTTGTTTCTTAATGTTTCATTTGAAACTTTTTTCCAGTTTTCACTAGGACAGCTCCTCTTTGTTTACCCTTGAACTTCTGTCATACAGTTACCTAACCCCCAGAGCCTGATAATCCTTGGTTGACTTTGAAGGATTAAGTTGACAAGGACAGCTAGACTAACTTGTAAGGCTCTAAGTAAGTGAACAAGGTCTGTTGACAGGCAAACTTCTCTTTAGGACATGTAGGTTACAAGCAGGCTGGGCTTAGCCAGAAGATATTCTGTAGTCAAATGACTATACAGATAATCCTCAATTTAAGATATCGTCAAGTTACAGCACACTGACTGCACTTATAACTCTCTTTTTTTTAGATTTTATTTAAAAAAATCTTATCCATAATAATTACTACTACTTATAATGTTAAAATATTTGTAAGATTATATGTAGTATTTCCAACTCCCAAGGGCAAAGAACCCGATTCATGAAGATATAATAATACACAGTTAATAAGAAGTTTTTTTAAAAAAAAATGAAGTCTTTGACCTCTGTCAGAATCAATTTGTAACTGTCATCGGGACAGAGCCTTAAGTTATGAACTGCCTGTAGTTGGATGCAAGAGGGGATAGTGGTAATTAAGGTATTTTCTGGCTTTGTCACTTCTGAGCTTTCTATTCTGTTCCACTTACTCAGTTCTGTTCCTACTCTAGGATCATAGTGATTTCAGTCTATTGCTGTAGTATCAATTAGAATTTTCTCAGTATTATTTTTTTTTCTATAATTATATTTTATTAATTTTCATAAACATTTACAGAGATTTTGGGCTTCCACTCATTCATTGTTGCACTATTCTCTCTACCCTCCTCCCAGTTTGTTCTTGTCCAAATGCCACTGTGCTTGTCAAAGCCAGTTCTGATTAATCTTCTTTGTCAGTGTGTCCTTTGCCATTCCCTATCACTCCTCCCTGAGAGAGACTTCACCCTGAGTCATAAGGAAAAGGGGATGGCGTATTCTCTTAGCTACTTCCTGCTGAAAAGGGATGCTGTGGGTTTCAGGGTGAAGATCTTCTCTCACTACTCTAAAGGGCCCCTTTGGCAGTAGGAAACACATAGACTATTATGGAGATTGATTTTGGAATTTAGATGCACTCTTATTGATTGTGCTTGGCTGTACATGTTCATATCCTTGAAGATGTATCATGGGGGTGTTGCAACCTAGAAGACACAAATTTGACTAACAAGTTATAAGTACATGAGTCCAAAAATTATGGAAAAGTAAAAGAAAAGATTCTTTCATTGTTTTACAAACCCTCCCCCAGGTCCCCTCCACCATGCAGCCCTCGCTCTAGTCTCCTGTGATGACAGAAATACCCAGTTACATCTCTCTTTTAGACGGTTCTCTCCCTCCTCTGTTTCAGTGCAGTATACATTATTGAACCCATCTTACTCATTCTCTCCCCAACCCCAAGGACAGTCCCATTCTACAACAGTGGCATCATGTAATATTTGTCCTTTTGTGACTGGGATATTTCACTCAGCATTCAGTTAGATTTCTTATTTTCCAAGATGCTTCAGTATAGCTTTCAAAAGGAATTTACAGGTAAAAATATATCAGTAAACATATGCAAAATAACCTTTTCCTAGAATGTCACCATTTAGCATGTAAGACTGTACCTTTCCTTCAGTTTCTGAGTAAGAGTATTCCAAGAAAATATATATTTTCTCAAATGTATGATTTTTATTATACCTGTTCAATCACAGATACTACTTAATTACTGTAAAGTCTGTAGGCTCCTGGCTCATTTGAAGTGCTGTAAATCCCTAAATAGGTAACTTATGAATAACCCCTCTTTGCCTTCTGTAATGACTTAGTAAATTTAAAGTTACACGTAATTTTACAAATCATAATAACTTCATTTGATGCGAAAGTTCAAACACTGTTATTTGGAAAGAAAATATTCATTCTCATCTCTGCATATTCAACATAAAATTGAGATGATTATTAGAATTAAAACTCTACTTTGAAGTTAGAAAAATTGTGAAGTATTTTTAAATGGGCAGAGATAATTGTTTTTGTGTGCATGTACCGTCAAATCAGATCTGACTGGTACAGGAGGAGATTGTCCCTCCTTCCCCGGCAGAGCATCTGGTGGATTTGAACTGTTCACCTCTGCAATTGTAGTTGCAGCTCCTTGCCACTAGGCCACCAGAGCTCCCCTGGGCAGAGATAATTGACTTTTCTTTTTTTTAGGGTAGGTTCCCAAGAAGGTAGTGTGTTTATTATTGTTTGCCTAAGTCTCCCAGGTCCTCCAGGCTCCTTAGTCTCATTTCTTGTGGGGGAAGGAGGCCCAGCCTAGGCAGTACATGCTGTAGGTGCCCCTGAGACAGAGCCCCATGGTCATTCGGTACCGGAGGCTGTCAGTTGCTCCTCCCTTCAGATGCACTGGGAGGTCATTGTCTGCCTGGAAGAGCTTCTGTTTCTCGGCTAGTCGGTTCTCCAACCAGTTCCTCGTGGTGGAGCTGAAGGAGCGAACCCAGTGCCTGAGAAAGCCGCAGGACCCTCATTCTGCGTCCTCTTCGGCCGGAGTCACCACCCCTCTCCCAGATAATTGACTTTTAATACTGGATGCTGTCTAGCAAACTCTAGGATTATCTGTTTCTAGGGTATATTTCTCAGATTCTTTTTGAGCATTAGTCAACTCTCTCAGTTGTGAAAAAATAATAATATTAACACAAATGAATTATGCCCACTTGAAAGACAAGTAAATTTATATAGTGGTACTATTACTTCTACAGGTAGGAAAAAAATATTCTAGACATTTTTTTTTCTTCTTGTATGATACTAAAAGATGTCTTGGTGGAACTCTGGCAGTTAACCCAGAAGTCAGCAACTCGAACCTTCTCCCCCAGTGATTTGGGGGTAGAGGCCAAACAGTCTACAGCCTAAGAAGCCGTGTGAGGCTGTTCTGTCATATGGGAGGTTAGTCAGAATTGACTCAGCAACAAAACAACAATAGTAAATAGTTACAAATTATTTTCCTCTTTCCTAACTGCATTTTTATTTGTTCTTCATATTGTCCTTTTAATTGGTTTTAATATCTCTGGCTTCCTCAGTAATGAGAAAAATGACATTTTTGACAACATGATCTTTTAAAATATTTCACAGAAACATTTTAAAAAGAGTTACAATCCATAGAATTAATAGAATTCATTAGAATTGATTGGAATTCTGTTACTGTGTATTATATAAAATATACATGAACTATATTAATTCATATATTATTAATAGATACTAATTCATTAGAATTGTATTAATTAAAGATTTGCAGTTCAAATTTAAAGACTAATACTTAATTTAAAAATTTTATTTTTTAATTAGTCTTTTTATTTTTAAAATTAATGTCTTTCTAAAGTTTTCCAGCTACATATTGCAGACTTATCAAGACTTCATAAGAGAATGATATATCCAGACTTCATAAGAGAACCCAAATTATGTGAAACATGTGTTTTTTGTTTTTCAGAGTGGCAGCAATTATGCTTACTTGGAGCAGTTGGAGAGCCTGTCTGCTAAAGGGCGCCCTATCCCTGTACGTCTTGACGCCCTTCCCCAAGTGGAGTCACAGGTGGCAGCAGCACGAGCGTGGAGGGAACGGACTGGAAGGACCTTTCTGAAGAAAAATTCTAACCACACATTGTTACAAGTAAAGAGAAAAAAAAAAAGTAGTTTTTGCTTTGTGTACAAATAATCTCATCAGCAGTTGATAATTTAGCACCTGTAGATAATAGATGAGGATATACTTGTCATCAGTGAGGATTATTTTCTGTTTATCTGGTTGCAGGTTTAAGAGTACTTCCTATTAGGTAGTATCAGGTGTTGATTGAAATCTAGAGCCTTATATTCATTCATTCATTGCTGTCCAATTGGAAACCTTATATTGGATTTCTGAGACTGTAAAATCACATGGCAGGAGATTGCATATCTCTCTCCCTCAGAGCTGCTGGTGGATTTGAGTGGCCAGAGATGTCTGGCTTGGGTAGTAATACAGTCAGAGCTCACTGTAGAAAATTTATTGGTGAAGATTGTTTTCTGTTTATCTGGTTGCATGTTTACATTTGCTTCTTATTAGGTAATAGCAGAGTTGATTGAAATCTGAAGCCAGACTGGTTCACCTATGCTGTGTCCAAGAAAGGCAGTGAGCCTGGATTTATTACTGTGGTTATTGTACTTGATGAATGAGAGATTATTTCATAGAAGTACCTATTTAAATATCCATAATCTTTTCTTTTTCATAAAAGCCAAGGGCATAGATAGATGTTAAGTCATTTTTTTTCCCAAGCTAAGATTAATTGAAGAAATGTTTCATTATAGAAAATAGTAATACTTAATGTTCTTAAACATCACACTTTAAATTATAACATATGCTTCATGCAGCTCAATTGTTCAGCCTAGTTTAAAAAAGCAAATATAACAGATTAAAAAAATCCTTAACTAAAAATGTAGGAAAATGGCACAAAAACAGTACATTTATAATGTGCATAGCAAGACAGCTGGGAGCATCTACATATAACTTTAAAAAAAAATGAACTTTGGGGGGATAGACCAACCACTGGGACCTACTTTTTCAGTTGGCTTATATAAATGATTTCACATTTTTTATATATTTAACTGACAATAGTGTTCAGTCCCTAAAAAAAGTATAGACTTTACAATAAGATAGTCTCAGTTTGAGAACTAGCTCCATAATTGTTAACCCTAGGTCTTTGAGTAAGTTACTTCTGTATTAATCTGGAATTTTTGTTGTTTGTAAAATGAAGATAATAATGCATAGTTCATAGATTATTTTCAAGAGTAACCTGAATATTGGGTGTAAGTTCTTAGGAGAATTCCTGGTACATAATGAGTACTAAGTAATTAGTACATTGTATTATTTTCACTTTTCCCCCTCCTTCTTGTTGTGTACCAATGGATTGGCACAGGAGGAGATTGCCCCTCCTTCTCTAGTGGAGCATCTGGTGGATTTGAACTGTTATTTTCACTTTTAATATCCTCTTCTATTTAACAAAAGAAGACAAAACTATCCTAGAGGTCATGTTTTTAATTTTATTTTTTTGTAGGTTCTAAGTCCCCGGACTGACATTGGTGTATATGGAAGTGGTAAAAACCGAAGGAAAAAGGTGAAAGAACTAATAGAAAAAGAAAAAGATCTGGACCTTGAGCCTCTGAGTGACCTGGAGGAAGGAGTAGAAGAAACCAGAGACACAGCTATGGTGGTAAGGAATTAAGTAGGAGTAGTTCTTGAATGTAGTGGGTATAAAAATCTTTGAAGATGATAGCAAATTTACTCTTTATATATTTATACACACACACACACACACACACACACACAAATATATATATAACTTATTTATTCTTCCTCGCATCAAAGGAAGGAGCATCTGCCAGTACATGTGAACTGTATTCCTTCTCCTTTCCTTTCCCCTGTGCTCTGGTTTCTTGAGACTACAATTTCCTTTGTTCTTTCAGGCACCTTGAGTCACTCTTTCTTCACTCTCTCAGTATGCCACAAAACTAAAACAGAACACTTATTATCTCTCTCCCTTTAAATTCTCCTTCCCTGCTCTCTGCCCTTCCAACAGTTTTGTTTCTGACTGTTACACAGCATCTTCTGATAAATAACATTAGTCCCTTCCTCTCTGTCATTGAAGTTTATCCAGATGGTTGTTAGTACTTAAAATAGTAAGCTAGCATGGGTTTCATTTCAGGCATTAGATGGAAGGACTATATTAGAAATATTGTCTGGACTTGATTGAGCCCTATCGTGTTCTAGTGACTGAGATGATTAAATATAATCTGTGTAAAAGAATAGATGAAATCATAAGTATTTGAAAATCAAAATGTACTTTTGATTAATGGATCACCTAAGCCCTGGGAAGCCTAGGTATAATGTACAAATATAGTTTGGCTCTTAATGTTGAGAAAGACAAGGGACTAAAAAAAAACACTTTATACAGCTTTTTATTTTTTTACATACTTTCTGTATCTTTGGCTTTATGGTGATACATATTTCACATCTTTTTAAATATTTTTAATTCAAACATATATTTTTTAAAATTACTATTATATTCTCCCTCCTAAATTATATTTTCTTTATCTCCGTCGTTTGAAAAAGTTGTCTGCTATTCCAGCAAATTATCAGTAAGTTTCTGAAGAGTTGAACATTTTTGCCTGTTTCTAAGTGCTCTTTGTTACATATACCAGTGAAACGTACTTCTTTATGTGGTCTCCTTAGGAATTATTCTTCTATACTCTAAAAATAGGATTATTGACTTATAATTTAATAGCATTTTCTTACTCCTAACACTGTTTTGCTTTTCAAAGGAAGTAGAAATTTATCAATATCAGCTGCTTTTCATGCTGTATAGCCCTTCTCTTAGTAGTATATAAGTATAACTAGTACTCAAAATATTTGAAACAGATGAGAATAATTGAAAGTGTCTTTAGAAAAAAATGTTTTGAGATGATAATAAGATTACTTGGTCTTAAGTAAAAAAGAAAACTAAGGTAAGATTGGGCGATGTGTAATAGAGAATTGCATGCACTAAATAACTTGATATCACTGCTTCAGTGTACACATAATCATTTGATGCTTGTGAAAATGATCTCTCGTTAGAGAGTTTACCTGTTGAGTCACCTTGCTAGACAATTGTTGTTGTTGTGTATTGTTGTCGGAACCAACCATAGCTGACTCTCCAGGAGGATTTCAGAGGCAGTAGATTGCATTGGAGGAGATTGCCTGTTTTTCTCCTGTGAAGCAGTTGGTTGGTTTAAACTGCAAACCTTTGGTGTTGCTAGCACAGTTCCTTACTGCTAGGCTACCAGAGCTCCTTTGCCAGACAGTTAGGGTAGGAAAGTATTTTAAAATTGAAGAGCTACTGTCAGTTAATTTAAAAACAAAATGCATAGAGAATATTCATGATAATTACATTTTATTTGCTTTTTTTTTTTACTTTGTTGAATTGAGGTACATGAAACAGTGGCATCATTGACTGTCAGATTTTGTTATTTTGCTTCCAGAATTGGGAGAGCCCTTCTCTTTAATTATAAGAAATAGTAATTTAGTTGTATAGATCTTACTTCTAGGTAATGAATCACAGGGCATGAAGAATTGTTATTGATTAATTGTGACACCAGTTTCATAGGCCTTTCCATTTATTATTTTACTAAGTCCTTAAAACAAAAAGTTGATACTACCTTCATTTATCAGAAAACTAATAGTCAAAGGGTTTGTGTTGTGCCCCAGACCAGCAGCTTCAGGAAGAAACAGACTTCCTATTAAAGCCCACTGTCATTCTACTGTACCCCCAGAAAAGTTCAAAAGTGTCATATTGATGTAAATCACCAAATATGGCAACACTTTGTCCCTTTCATAGATGTGGAACTTAACTTTAAGGATTTGGTATTTTGAGGATGTCTTGAAATGACATCTTTGAATCAATTCTTTTATACAGGTGGCAGTTTTCAAAGAACGAGAACAAAAAGAGATTGAAGCCATGCATTCCCTCAGAGCTGCCAATTTAGCCAAGATGACAATGGTGGACCGCATAGAAGAAGTAAAATTCTGCATTTGCCGCAAGACAGCCAGTGGGTTTATGCTACAGTGTGAACTGTGTAAAGACTGGTTTCATAACAGCTGTGTGCCCCTTCCTAAATCAAGTTCCCAGAAGAAAGGTTCCAGTTGGCAAGCTAAAGAAGTTAAATTCCTTTGCCCTCTTTGTATGCGGTCTCGAAGGCCCAGACTAGAGACTATTCTGTCACTTCTGGTATCCCTTCAGAAGTTGCCTGTTCGGTTGCCTGAAGGAGAAGCCTTACAGTGTTTGACAGAACGTGCTATGAGTTGGCAAGATAGAGCTCGGCAGGCCCTGGCAACAGATGAACTGTCTTCTGCCTTGGCCAAATTGTCTGTATTGAGTCAGCGTATGGTCGAACAGGCAGCGCGAGAGAAAACGGAAAAGATCATCAGTGCAGAACTCCAAAAAGCAGCTGCTAATCCTGACTTACAGGCAAGTTTAGGATTTACTTTTTCTATTTTATAGAATAATTTTTGTCAAATGGCAATGGTAAATACTTATCTATCTTACTAATTGATTAGGAGGACCACAGTAACTTGCTGACAGCTATATTATCTATAACATATGTTTCCCATGGACACCTATAATATTTTTTTTAGTTACCTAGCCAGGTCATTTTAGTGAAATACTACCTAGAAATACTGTTCAAGTAGATCTTGGCATCACAAATAGTTTAATCTCTACTAACTGTTGTACTGTTAACTACTTTGTAAGTTCATTACATTTTGATGGTGCTAAACACATATTGATATTGATATTGCACATTAGTTTAGTAAGTCTGTTCATTCTGGGATTGTTTGTTGTTTAGGGACACTTACCTAGTTTCCAGCAGTCTGCCTTTAACCGGGTGGTAAGCAGCAGTGTATCATCCTCCCCTCGACAAACAGTGGATTATGATGATGAAGAAACAGATTCTGATGAAGACATTCGGGAGACATATGGCTATGACATGAAGGTAACTACATATTAATATTAGAATGGATTATTTGTTACTAATCTGATTATTTTTATAGCAATTGTGTTTTATTTGATCTTATTGATCTTTTCATTGTCATTTTGTGTAAGGAGCAAGTTCTTGGTCTTTTTACCTTGTAATAGCGTTGTTATCCAGGCAGAGACCCTGTTTTACATTATTCTTAGTTGCCCTGTGTGGATGCTATGCTGCAACCAGGGAGTTCCTTAATCTGATCTAAGAGTCTGTTTCAGAAGGACTGTGTGGAATTTTTACCCTGCCCCTCAACTACCTTTTCTTTGTGTTGTTAGCACGCACATCAGGTAGGTACTGTTTGATGAATGTTAATCCCATCGTCATTAAAACTTCAAGGATGCAAAATAAAACTGTCTGCCATAGGTACTTAAAAATTCATTGCTGGAAAATAGTTTTCTCAAGATAGAATTCTTAATTCTAAGGTACATTATAGCCATTTTATGTCAGAGGAGCTCTCTGATATCTAAATGAAAGACTTGAGAAAAGTGAGTGCTTGCATTAACTTGTTGACAGAAGTTTCTAAGTACCTTTAACCTAGACTTTAAAGACTCTCTTTATTTTAAGGTTGTATAGGATGTCCAGGAACAGCTAATGGGAATGTAGCCCATGCCAGGTATAAATTAGTTAGCTTTTCATTTGAATAATTACAGTCACCTCTATAGCTTAGAGGGCTCCATTACTTACACAGTATCTTTTCTAACACCTAAAGTGTTATTAACTACTACACTAGGATTGCTAAGCACAATCACTTTGCCTAGTAGTAGATTAGTAACAGTAAAGCAAAACATCACAAATATTAAATGATCTTCATTCAGGACTGTGGATTAAAATGTATTTTATTTGCTCTTTGGTGCAGTTCTTTTTTTTTAAGAATTTATGTGGAAATCTTAATGTAGTAAAATCTCTTTTGTAGTAGAAAGAATTGTCACAATGGAAAAGTGAAATTATGTATTCTGTAGTGTTAGCACTGTTGTTCTGACATGGTTCCTCTGTTAGGCATGGGGTTTTTGAAGGTCTGTTACTCAGAAGTGAGTGGCATCTAGAAGCTCCACTGAAACCTGTCCACTGTGGGTGACCCTGATGGCATTTGAAATACCAGTGGCATAGCTTCCAGCATTGTAGCAACATGCAAGTCCACTCCATCCTTACTTCTTGGCTCACAGGATAGAGCAGAGTTCAGATATGTTGTTCATAGGGTTGCCATGAATTGTAGTCAGCCTGATGACTCCTAATAGCAGCATAGTGATAGCAATACGTTTGATATAAAAATAAAGGAATGGTGGTAAGATTTACAGTAATGAAGGGCCAGATTTACCTTGATGTTGGTATCTTTGCCTTGTTGTTGTTGTTGTTGTTAAGTGTCATCGAGTCGCAGGCTCATAGTGACCCTATGAAGGAGAGTCCTCGATGCTTGGGTGCCTTTCATCCTCTCTCCAGGTTCATAGGGTTTCCGGAGGCAAGCTATTATGGAAGTGGATGCCACTCTTCCTTCCAAGCTTGTTTTAATCGGGGAGCTCCCCCCCATTTTCTGTCCACATTGGGTAGCCAACCATTAATGCATTTGACACATCAGTGTCACAGTGTTCAGCCTCACAGCAACCACAAGTGACCGTGGTATGGCAACTTGTACACCAGGGCTATACGACCTAGAGGAATAGATGGGTTAGTTTACTTAGTAAATATATTAATATAAATTGATACTGCTTTAGGAAGGAGGATAGGCAATTATGTAATAGATGTAATATGTAAAATATCTAATTATATAATAAAGTCAACTATCTTAGTTACCATAACATGTAGTTATTAAAATAGATGGTTTGTGCTTTACATTATTTGGTTACTTTATTTTGAATATTATATACTATAATTACCACAAAAATGCTTTGAAAAGCAATCCAAGAATATTTTTATTGTCAGTTTAGGAAATATATATTTAATGAAGCAAAGGCTATCATTATTTTTTGAGAATGTGTCTGAGACAATGTCCTTTCAAATAGTAATATGATTATTTCCTTTTAAGACATGTTATTAACTTTTACTAAGCCACCCATCTATATTACAGTTTTCATTTTGCAAATACATATATGTTTAGAGTTATATAGCAGAACGAAGAGTGTAGAACAGTAATAACTGTTACCTCTCAGGGAATTCCTTTGTGTATCCCAATTGCTAGTGCAGAGAAAGACAAGTGTAACAGTTATTCTTTCATTTTCTTGACCCTGCTTAATATTTTTGTGGCTTGAGTTTTGGTTGAAATAAGTAGATCTGTGTGTATTTTGTCCCCTTGTTACCAGATAAGATGGACAGCATACACGTTTCTGACAAGGTTGCCATTCTTTTCCTATATTTGTCTTTAGTGAGAATGACCTGTAATTTTCTTCATAAAGACTTTTCTATCCTTTATTTTTAAAATTGGCTTTACTCCTTTGTAAAGTTTTGTGTTTATGCACAAGCACAAATGTAAAAAAAAAGTATAAATCACAAGTGTATAGGTCAACTAAATACATTAAGTGAACAGAATTGTGTATCTAGCACCTATACTAGCATACACAACATTATCACATATCGTAGAAGTCCTCTCCTCCCTCTCAGCCATCTCTTCCAAAAAACGTAATGATTATCCTCCCTAATCGTTGTTATCTCCCTAAGTGCCGACTCGCAGAAACTCTGGATACAACAGAGCAAAACCTGGCCTGATCCTGTGCCCACACTTGCATTCTCTGCTGTGCTCAAGCCCAGTGTTGGAGTCAGCTATGTCAGTCTATTCCATTGAGCATTTTCTTTGCTTTTGCTCACCTTACACTTTTCAAAGAATGATATCTTTTTCCAAAGAAAGGTACCTGCTGATAACATGCCCAAAAAATATGAGATGAAGTCTCAAGTATTCTTGCTTTTGTGGGGTACTCTGACTTAATAAATAGAGATATATGCATTATAATACATATATATATATAATAAATATATATTATATTATATATAATTTATATAAATATATTTTATATATAGATATTTATAGATATAGATATATATATAAATATTTTATATATATAAATATATTTTATATATAATTTTTTTTGTAGTCCGTAGTCTATTCAGTATTTGTCACCAAAATCACAATTCAAAAGCATTGGTAATTATTCACTCGTCTTTGTTCATGATCTAAATTTCACATGCAATTGAAAAATCCCAAGATTTAGATCATTGTATGTTAATTTTACTTGCTTTTAAACGAGATAGAAATGAAACCATACATTTGTACATCTTTTTTTTTCCCTCCCAGCTTCTTTCATGCTATATTAGATTTACATTAGATTTGTGTAATTTATCTATGGTTTTTGTTCAAATACATTTTTTAAGAGACATAAACGCAGGTTATATGTCTGTTTATATATAAACCTGGATGTCACCTGATGGTATGCATAGGAATCAGATTGATTACATATGTGGAAAGAACCGCTGGAGAAGCTCA